AGAATAACGAATTAAATTGTATTCGACGCAATCGAATTCAATCGAACGCAAATTTAGATAGATAGCAATTTATCCGAATGAAATTTTAATCGAGTAAGAATTCATTTGAATAAGAGTTCATTCGAAAATGAATTTATTCGAAGAAGAATTCATTCGAAGATGAATTTATTCGAATAAGAATTCATTCGAAGATGAATTTATTCAAATAAGAATTCATTCGAAGAAAAATTCATTCGAAGAAGGATTCATTCGAATAAGAATGCATTCGAATAGGAATTCAAATGGGAAATAATTGATTAGAATATAAATAGTAGAATATAAAGTATTTTTTTCATTTCGAGTTAATCGAACAAAGAATTTTTCGAATTATTCAAATAAAAAATGATTCGAATAATGAATTTTTTGAATTATTCGAATTAAAAACAATTCGAATTATTCGAACTACAAATTATTCGAATTATTCGAACTAAAAGTTATTCAAATATAGAATTTTCGAGTTATTTGAATAAAAAATGATTCGATTGGACAGATAATTCGAAATAATTATAAATCGACATGAAATAATTTATTCGATTAATTTCAATCACATGGAATAACTTCTACGAATAATTGCAAGTATATAAAATAATTTAATCGAATAATTATAAACAGAATAAATGATCTACGACGAATAATAAAACGTCTGACTAAAATAATCGACTAAACGGGATTTCAGTCGCGTAATTATCTTCGATAAATATTTCGCGATAGCTGCGGGAAAAATTAGCCGGGTATATCGGCGGATTTCGTTATCGCGAGATCGGATCACCGTCTCCCGGAAAATTTGCCAATCACACGGCTCGTTAATGGAACCTTCCGCCGGCGCCTGTTTATACTGGCAGGCATCAGGGTAAACGTCTTACGTCTCGGGTTCCACGCCGCGCCTGTAATATCACGTAGGATGATATCGGGATTAGCGAGAGCGGCTCCGCGGTGCGCACTACATTACACTTAACGTTGCCAAATGGTAAACGGCCACGGCATGGAAAGTTAAGCGCGATGAAATTAGGGGATCGGGCCTTTGGGTCGCGGATCGGGAACCGGTATCCCGAAACCGCTGGGTCCGGATTGCTTGGATTTGCGTCCGGTTCGATTTTCAGCGAATTATGCCAACGTGTTCGCAATTTAACCTGCCATCGGCGTTCTCTTTCTTTTGACTTTCAAATTCTCGAAATCATGACGATTCTTTCTCGAAAAACGACGCGATTAATTTCTTCACTCGAGCGTTATAATGCGTGCATTATAATAAAAATGGCGAAAGGCGAAATAATTTGTCTGCTGTTTCAAGAACTTCTGGTTTTTACGCGTTCAGTAGTAACGAACAAATAATTTTCATTGAATCTAAATCAAAAAGAAAATTAACATAAAGTTAATTACGCACGAAAGTAAACAATAGGCACGGTAATTGGCCCCGCTACCACCCTATGAAGCATTGATCGGCGACGCGTCGTTGTACGAATGTCAAAAGAATAAGATCGAACGTAGCGTTGATTGGAAACGTCTGACCTTATTCTCGCTGACAATGAGAGTCATCGGCAAATGAACGGCGAGTCCCGTCGTCCCATATTGCATTATTGCGCCGGGCTTTTCCTGACACACTAATGAGTCATCCGTGTGCCACGGCACTCGTTCGCCGACTGTGCCACGGAAGGGCATTCCTGGCGCGCTAATGAGTAATCGATACTCGATGACACCGTTTCGAGCCGCGTTATGCAGTAATTGAGGGACTTTGCAGATAATAGATAGAGGCGAAGTTTCGGCCCGGAGTTTCGGGGCTCCGGCAAGAAACTCTTTTGCAACGGCGCCGATGAAAATTTCGCTTATTAAAATCGGCGAACACGAAGCGAACGAAGTTCCGTACGGAAGTAACGCGCTTGTTACGATCGCCGGGCTGCGGGTTTTATGGATTTATAAAAAAAAACATTTAATAGGCGAGGCGCGAAGATTAAAGGGAAGATTAAAGGGCTTCAAGAATGTTGCTGCGTTACTTTCGATCTGCTGAACCTATTAAACGTAGGACGCTTAAGGTATTAGCAACGGAGTTGTGCAGAATTGGGATCGAATTGCACGGGGAATTATGATTACAAAGTAATTCAATTATATTGTAATTCGGTTCGCCATTCGATTCAATTACAATGCAATTCGAAATTCAACAGGTGTACAGAATACTAAAAAAAAAAAAAAAATAATAATACGATTTAGGTTAATTAGGAATTACGATGTGATTCATACATAAATTGAATTATTGATAATTACAACGTCATTGGATCGAACTCGTGATTGAAGTAATTAGTAATTGAATTGACTGGAAAATTTGAATTATGTAATTGAATTGCAAGGCAATTGAAATAAAATATAACTTGAATGCAGTGTGATTAAATTACGTAATTGAATTACAATATAATTGAATTAGCATAACTCTGATTAGAAGGATTATTAATAAACTGTGTGATTTTATGCATTTATGATAAAAATGACTGCATTGAAGAACGAAACACGTAGATACATTGAAAAAATTTGAGAAGATGTTCTCAAATTCGTTATCTTATTAATATTATTAAGAGCGGAAACATATTTTTAATTGAGTACTTTTTCTACAATTGACTGTGAAATTCTTCATTTTGCACAAAGATCCACAATTTAATAAGCGCTGCTTAATGGTTGGTGGAGACTTGAATTTTTTTTAACGATCCATGCTCATTAATTTTTAACACCGGAATCACCGTAGTAGGATCGACAACATTTTACACTTATCGATTTATAGTTATCGAAACGGTCGAGTTGGAAGCTCGTTACAACGACGTACGTAACGAATTTACCGGGCGGACATAATTTCGTGGAGAAATGCAAACGGAATTCGGCGGTTCCGGTATTTTCGGCGTTCAATAATTCCTAAATGAAGTAATAACCTCGTCATCCATTGTATTTTTAAAGTTCGCGCACACGATCGCGCACGAATCACAGCGTAAAATTAATTCGAACACGAAAAATCGCGTCTAGCCACGTTGCATTGTAAATTGCACGGGGGCTTCGTACCGATTTTGAAATTTCTGCGCTAAAATTATCCGAAATGTGGCGGAGAGATTAACGAAATTTCCATTCAGCTTCTCCGCTTTAACGAGCTCGAATCATAAAAACGATCATGCCTTCTCTACCACAGGATACTATAAATTCGATCGGTGTGAATTGACGTCGAATTGGTATGATGTGTCCTATACATACGTATTCACGTACATATTCTTTTCATTTCAACGAACAGATTTTCCATCGTAATGCGACAGCTAAATTCTGGTTACAAACAGCATCACCGATTATTAATAGATTATTAATAGATTATTAGTCGCAATTATCAGTGCACACTATTGCCGATAATAGACATTAATCCGCTCGTTCGTGTTAATTATGGGTTTGCCAGATAACAATTACGATTAAAGATATTTTCGTAATAACTAGTTTCGCTGCATTGTGTTCGTTTCTACTGTCAAACGTTCGTGTCATTAAATAGTTTCAAATAGAAACCGGAAGAATTACATATTTGTAAAATTGTCCAAAATTGATGCAGCAGCTGTCGTGCAAGAGACGATGCTGCTATTAGTAACCTCGAATAATTTCATTTAGAAAATTTTAGAATATATAATATATTATTATATAGTATCATATTATAATAATATAATATATTATTATATAGTATCACATATTATAATAATATAATATATTATTATATATAGTATAACATATTATAATAATATAATATANAATGAAGTAATAACCTCGTCATCCATTGTATTTTTAAAGTTCGCGCACACGATCGCGCACGAATCACAGCGTAAAATTAATTCGAACACGAAAAATCGCGTCTAGCCACGTTGCATTGTAAATTGCACGGGGGCTTCGTACCGATTTTGAAATTTCTGCGCTAAAATTATCCGAAATGTGGCGGAGAGATTAACGAAATTTCCATTCAGCTTCTCCGCTTTAACGAGCTCGAATCATAAAAACGATCATGCCTTCTCTACCACAGGATACTATAAATTCGATCGGTGTGAATTGACGTCGAATTGGTATGATGTGTCCTATACATACGTATTCACGTACATATTCTTTTCATTTCAACGAACAGATTTTCCATCGTAATGCGACAGCTAAATTCTGGTTACAAACAGCATCACCGATTATTAATAGATTATTAATAGATTATTAGTCGCAATTATCAGTGCACACTATTGCCGATAATAGACATTAATCCGCTCGTTCGTGTTAATTATGGGTTTGCCAGATAACAATTACGATTAAAGATATTTTCGTAATAACTAGTTTCGCTGCATTGTGTTCGTTTCTACTGTCAAACGTTCGTGTCATTAAATAGTTTCAAATAGAAACCGGAAGAATTACATATTTGTAAAATTGTCCAAAATTGATGCAGCAGCTGTCGTGCAAGAGACGATGCTGCTATTAGTAACCTCGAATAATTTCATTTAGAAAATTTTAGAATATATAATATATTATTATATAGTATCATATTATAATAATATAATATATTATTATATAGTATCACATATTATAATAATATAATATATTATTATATTTATTATATTATAATAACGTAATATATTACTATATTTATTATATATTATTATTATTATATATAATATATTATAATAGTATTATATATAGTATTATATGTATATAGTATTATAATAATATTATATGTAGTATTATATATAGTATTATAATATATTATTATTAGTATTATTATATAGTGGAATATATAATACATAAGTAAGTGGATATATGTATAATAAATTGAACGAACTGTGAATAAAAGAGCTACTTAATTCGTCGAAAACTCCGGACGCCGCTTTAATTGGCACAGTAATTGATTCCATTTGCCCTCTAACTTATACGTCAGTGTGCGCATCTGTTGATCCGGAGACGCTGATGATCCTTCTTTGTCTTTGCAGAGGCTTACGTGAACCTGGGCGCAGCGTTGGCCTCGGTGGGTCGTGGCGCGGAGGCGGCTGCGGTTTTGCGGGCCGGCGCGTCCCTGGACGGGTCCGGTCTCAAGGACAAAAGGGCTCACGAGGCGGCAAGGGTGCAGGCCCTCCTCCAATTAGGCGCCCTATACGCCGATCAGGGTCGATTACAAAGGGCCCTCTCGGCGTACAGAGAAGCTCTCCACGCCTTGCCGGATCACTATCCACCTCAGGTCAGTTCTGCTCCTTCCCGTTCGTTACGCCATTACCGCGTAACAACGGTCGGCTCGCCGCCATAGTGTTCCGAAACGGTGATATCGTCGCCTAAACCTTAAAGCATCCCATCGACGTAATTACAGAACTAGCAAGCCAGTCGAGATTACCGAACGATTTCACCGTTCGATCACGGATCACATTTTATGGTTTCTTTTTAGCAAGATTCCGGCGATAGTTTACTGCAAAAGGCGAACAATATTTCATGACGGAGCTTGAACCATGCTTATACTTATGGCATAATTAAGAAAAATGTGTTCCCGTGAACCGGTCTTTCGAACATTTGCAAAAAATTCAAGACAACGCGACAAGTTTATACAGTAATTTCTCCCGGAAATGCCAAATTTCGGGTTGCTGTGAATTTCCCCTGTGCTAGTCCTACGCCTATGCAGCTTATCGCTACCTTACACTACGATGCGTTATAACAATGCCAAGACTGGGTTCATTTGAACTTCCCACGATTATTCTATCGAATAACGAAGCGTGCTATCGAACATTTCTCCTGGAAATAATTTTATAACGTCGGGAACTGCGAAAGGAAAAATATAATCAGGAACTGGTTCTGACTGGTTCGGTGGTTCCAGTGTGAGAAAAAGTCGCGCCGTTCTAAACGGCGCGCGGTCACTTTTGCTCCTTGCCGGGGTCTCGAGAGAACTCATTAAATTACGCTAATGGCCACGTCACCGTGCCCTGACCAATTAAACCGACCTTTCGCCTCCGTCTAACGTCGACGGCCGTCGCACGGAACACGTCTCGCCGATAGCATCGGCACCGTCTCCGGCCGCGGCGGCCAGATATGCAAATATCAAATGCGAGTCTATCGACCGTAAGAATCGAGAATTCGGGCGCCGATCAGCTCCGCGTGGCGAGCGATTCGTTCCCTGTTTCCCGTTCCACGGCACCGAACCGAACGTAACAGCTGTCAGGAGCCGGCCGCGGGCCAAAGCACGAGTTCCCGTTTTCCCAAAGACAGGGGCGGAGGCGGATCGAGTCTTCGCGGTACAGCGATCTCATCAATATGCAGCACGGGTGGCCATTGTGAATGGTACCGCTGGGCTCGAAGGTTGCGGCCGATCGTCAAAGGGAATTTCACGGGTGCGTTGCCGGTCCGGCTGGCCTAAATACACTCGCGGATACCATCCGGCCCGGCCCGGCCCGGCCCGAACTGTCCCCCGCAAGGCGTTCCAAAACGGCGAAGTCGTTCCGAAGCCGCTAAAATGAACGTCTCGTTCGGGATAATTGCTCGGCAGTCTTCTAAATAGTTCACTGTACCGAATTCGAGAAAGTCAGAATGCTGTGGATGCTTGAAATTGCTTAAAAATATTTAAAAGTGTTTAACACGTTCCGTGCCACGTGTACCATCGATGGTACACGTGGCACGGAACGTGTTCTGTCTCTTATACACATCTAGATGTGTATAAGAGACAGAACACGTTCCGTGCCGAGCTTTTTTTACTCGAATCTTCACACTTTGATATTTTACTAAAACTTGATGTATTACGTGCAATTATTAATTCTCGTACACATAACAACGTAACAAAAACTTATCAACGCCCATTCTTGCGGTGGAAATTGATTCTTCGGTTCTAAATTTCTTGTAAACAATTTGTTCAGTTCACTAAGTAAACATGCAAGCTGTCTCTTATACACATCTAGATGTGTATAAGAGACAGAACACGTTCCGTGCCGAGCTTTTTTTACTCGAATCTTCACACTTTGATATTTTACTAAAACTTGATGTATTACGTGCAATTATTAATTCTCGTACACATAACAACGTAACAAAAACTTATCAACGCCCATTCTTGCGGTGGAAATTGATTCTTCGGTTCTAAATTTCTTGTAAACAATTTGTTCAGTTCACTAAGTAAACATGCAAGCTGTCTCTTATACACATCTAGATGTGTATAAGAGACAGAACACGTTCCGTGCCGAGCTTTTTTTACTCGAATCTTCACACTTTGATATTTTACTAAAACTTGATGTATTACGTGCAATTATTAATTCTCGTACACATAACAACGTAACAAAAACTTATCAACGCCCATTCTTGCGGTGGAAATTGATTCTTCGGTTCTAAATTTCTTGTAAACAATTTGTTCAGTTCACTAAGTAAACATGCAAGCTGTCTCTTATACACATCTAGATGTGTATAAGAGACAGAACACGTTCCGTGCCGAGCTTTTTTTACTCGAATCTTCACACTTTGATATTTTACTAAAACTTGATGTATTACGTGCAATTATTAATTCTCGTACACATAACAACGTAACAAAAACTTATCAACGCCCATTCTTGCGGTGGAAATTGATTCTTCGGTTCTAAATTTCTTGTAAACAATTTGTTCAGTTCACTAAGTAAACATGCAAGCTGTCTCTTATACACATCTAGATGTGTATAAGAGACAGAACACGTTCCGTGCCGAGCTTTTTTTACTCGAATCTTCACACTTTGATATTTTACTAAAACTTGATGTATTACGTGCAATTATTAATTCTCGTACACATAACAACGTAACAAAAACTTATCAACGCCCATTCTTGCGGTGGAAATTGATTCTTCGGTTCTAAATTTCTTGTAAACAATTTGTTCAGTTCACTAAGTAAACATGCAAGCTGTCTCTTATACACATCTAGATGTGTATAAGAGACAGGTACACGCTTGCATGTTTACTTAGTGAACTGAACAAATTGTTTACAAGAAATTTAGAACCGAAGAATCAATTTCCACCGCAAGAATGGGCGTTGATAAGTTTTTGTTACGTTGTTATGTGTACGAGAATTAATAATTGCACGTAATACATCAAGTTTTAGTAAAATATCAAAGTGTGAAGATTCGAGTAAAAAAAGCTCGGCACGGAACGTGTTAATAATGCGTCAAATAATCTTGTGATTATTAGACCGATTTATTTGTAACGCGAAACGTTGCCATCTTCGTGACGAGCACATTCGACAAAAAGAAACAGTTAACTGGTTAAAAAAGAATATATTTACAATAGAATTTGGTATTCTTTATTTAGTTACATATTTTACAAAAATGTTGCACGTAATCCCTAGCGCTGCAATTAATTTCACGAACGCGTCGATCAGCAATTCTTCGACTTTACATATTTTCCTGATAAAACGAGACCATTTTTATTTCTTTCACGCCTTCGATCATTTTCATTCGATCATTTTCATGAAAGAAGAATAAAAAAATGTTGTTTCTATTTCGAAGAAACGAATAACGCGATCGTATTTAGCAGATCATGCACGAAATCTTCGTCAGAAGTTAAAACCGGTTTTTGACGTTTTCTTTTACAGATGCTGATATTACAAAAATGTTTTTAGGAGAAATTTTTCGCTACACTTCTTCATTGAAGTATACATTGCAACATAAATCATATTTAAGTTACCCAGTTTTAGTTAGTTCAAATAAATCCATCCTTGGCTATGTCATGGAACAATGTAAATTAGTCGCGTTCTGGCGCTCGGTAGTTCCGGTGTTAAACAAAACGCAAAGAAAATCAAACATGTGCACAGCATAATTGCAGTAACTCGCACGCTTTCCAGCGAGACCGCGTCGGCAAACCGGTTTAACCGTCGCCGAAAACCATGAAACGCAATCGTCTCTATCGTTTCCCATTAAAAAAAAAAGCGTGGCCCCGGTGAAACAGGGAAAAAAGGCCTTAATGAGATTGTTATCGCGTGTAAAATATAACGCCGGCCCGCGGCGTAGGAAAGAAATTTATTGTTGATTCGGATCTCTATAAATTCCCCGAGAGCGTAGCCTCTATATCTGCATAAAGATCTGCAGTCTAATAATCATTTATAGCCCCGGCGGCGGTCGATCGCGCGGGGGCGCTCGCGTTGAAAAACTTAATTCCGCGGATTCAATTTACTTTCGCGCTAATAAATTGATGAGCCCGGGCTATCATGCCGCGAGGATAGCGGTCTTAAGCGGCTGAACGCGGCCCGATCCAATTATAATCGGTCTATCTCTCCTCGTCGAAATTATTTAGCCGATTCAATCGACGCGGCGTCGCGCCGAATACAGATTAAAACATAAGTTAAGAACCGTCCGGCCGGCCCGCCATCAACAGTTCATTATTCGGTTGATTTTCATTTTAAATCCGATTGCCGGCCGCCGAACGGACGCGCGTATGCATGTATATCGTAAACAGTTTTCATCCGGGCGCGTGCAGTATGCATCGCGAAGGAAGCGCGAATGTGTGCGGGAGCACGCGCGCGCGCGCGCGAGCACGCTGCCTGGAAAACACCGGTTAATTTGATTGCGCGCGATCAAATTTGCCCGAACAAACTTCCAGCGCGAACCAGATTAATTTTATTAAAGGAGCGGCCCCGCCAGAAAAATTGCACGCCAACAAAATTACCAGCTCGCTCGTATGCCGGCGAGTGCTCGCTTTCGCGCGACCGAAACGCGCTCGCGTAATCGTGCCCGATGCATCTGGCCGATTGCGACACCCTCTTCCGCTTCCGTTACGCTCTTCGCAGACTTCTTGGACCGGCGTTGCTGCTTATGGTTCGACAACGAGTGTACATAGTTCGCGTTGCGAGAAACGCGGGACGCGAGAGGAATTTTTGACGGTCGAGAAACGGATCGTTCGACGATGTTTGAAACGAAGCGGACGGTAACGGTGATCTGAAACTTTGCGAACTGGTTTCATCACTTTTGGAGAGTACGCTCGAATTTTTCTGCGATGGAATTTGTGACTTTTGTGTAATGTTGCGGTAATTTATTCAGCAGACCTGGACGAAGTTTAGTCAATGAGAAATATCTGTTTGAAATAACGCTGCTGTTGTTTGGGAATAAAAATTGAATAATATTGATTAAATAATAAATAATAGCAATTAAATAATAGCGATTCCAAATAATGAATTATTTCAATACTTTTTACTTCAAATACGGCGAGAGAAATAATTCTCGAGATAATATGCAACAAAAAGATTTTATTCTAAGA